TCTCTCTCTCTCTCTCTCTCTCTCTCTGACTATCCACCGATAATTTTCGAAAATAGGAACGATAATATAGATCCGAGATACGGTAAAAATCCGCCTCGCTGTAGTAATAGCCTTTTTTACTTTTCCAATTACCGACTTTTCTCACTATGTGACGCAAAGTTGTTTTATATTTGCTTAGATGATTTTTTCAGCACGTTCGAACGGAACGTTACCCTTAAGAGTATTGAAAACGCACTCGCAGATAAAACGAATGAATTTTTCGTCTGTCTGGCGTAAGAAAGAGACACGCTGATTTTTGTTCGAATAACACAGCGCTTTGAGAAAACAGATACTTTTCTTACCGATCGAATGTTCTGCGGTTCTTCTTGGATTAACCGAAGACGTTCTCTTCTTCATCGAGGAAGTTGCGCGACTGCCGCGAGAGAATGTGAGTACGATACTTTTATACGAAACTTTCGGAAAAGGATCTGCGCGGTACGTAAACATAGTTCGCCGTATCATCGGGAAATATGCACGAAAACTATACTCGTCGGGAATCGATTGTTTCAGATCGAGCAATAAATATCCGTGAGGTTGAGACGTGGCATCGTGATACGCTTCCTCGAGGAACTTTGGATCGTTCGGATAGACTTGACGAGCGAGATGACGAATTTGCGCGCGATCTCATGGATTTTTGAAAACCACAAAGTAATTCGTGTTGAGAGATATATCGCGTTGTCCACGTCCCTGATGAAAGAGATTTTGCGTGATAAAAATTACGCTGAGATACTTATGATGACTTCCCTTGATAAACAGATCTACGATCGCTTCGCTCGAGGACAATTCCCTCATAAAATAAATTATTATCAATTTCGCACGGGATGGATCGTTAGAATAATATTGAAGCTGCTGATAAGCATCCTGCCACTCGGCGTAATAAAACGAAATTCTCTCAAAACAGACATCTGACATAACGAGTAAATGACGAAGAAATTTTTTTACAAAGATTGTTTTCCCATATCCCGTCGGTCCGCACATGATTGACGTCCATGGATGTTTCCAGCGCATGAATTATTCGATGACCGATCTCGCGTTCCTTCAAAATTAGCCATTGCACGGCTTTGTGCAACTAGTCTTTAAATCTGTATCCACCCGATGGAATGATTCCTATTTCTCCTTCGCGCAAAAAGTTTTTCCGAAAAACTTTCATGCACGTTGAAGCGATAGTTGCACATTCCTCGAATGGATACGTTTTCCCACTTTAAGAATATTTTTCTGAAGGCCATGCATGCTCGTCGAAGGATATCAACGCCAGTGCGACAATATTCGAGTATTTCACGTTGAAAATCAAATACGGTATTTTTTCTGTCATTTTCGCGTGCCACGCAAGAAAACGTTCGCATTCGTCTGTTTGCATTGTTTCGGGCGAGTAATAACGAACATCCGGTAGCGATCCGACATATGTTTGATTATTAACAATATTAAATAAATGAGGAAAGACACCTTTGTCACAAGTATCCGGTAACCCTTCGGTAATTCTGACAAACGCATTGGCATATAATTAATACTGACGATAAATTTCATACTATTTGCTGATAAG